CATCTTAGCTAATTTTCATCCTGATGAAACTTAAAATGCTCCAACAACTGTGCGTTAGCAGTTTCTGGCTGAAGTATAGAAATTCACTTGAAGACACGTGACCTAGAATTCTCCCAGGGAGCCAAGCTTTTAAGAATGGGATAGCTTATCTGATTTTGGGAAAACAGCAGCTAAACATTACACTTCAAAGTCCTAGATCCCAGTTAAAGGCAGGCTATCAAGTGATTTTTAGCTTCACCTATCGCCTTGGCCCTCCCTCAGTGTAACAAGGCCACAGACTTTGGCAACCCCAGCAGAAATATCCAGAGCTGCACCATTATTACTCTTGTAGCAGGCCACACTCTGAATAGTCATGGGCTATGGAAAAATCTGTAATGTCAAGCTCATTCTTTGAATACATGTAAGTGTTCAGTCTCTTGTTCTGAATCTATTATCCCAAAATAGCTCTGAAATCACTCAAAAGCTGTAAATGCAGAGTGTTGTTATCACTCAGCCCTTAAGCCATGCTGAGTCTGATCTCCCCATGAGGTGGACAGCTCAGAACAACTATGTTGGATTGCATTTAAACAGATAAAGTCTGGTGGCAAAGCCAGAGCAGACAAACATGATCTGTGTTCATGCAAGGAAAAAAATTTTGTTTGTTGAGATGCACATAACTGAATAGATGCCTATTAAAACAAAGTGAGGTGAGACAGAAGCATTTCACAAAGCTAGGTAACTCTATCGTACACCAGTAAACCTTGATCTGGAGGTCTCCTTCTGAATGACAGGCATGTCAACAACCTGGCATCTGTATCATTTTTTAAAAATTCCTCCAAAGTTCCTTGGCAAACACTGATTTTCTTCTTCCTCCGAGCTTCCACTGAACCGAAACCAAAGCCTTCTTTGTTCCACTATACCATTAGCAGGTCTCTGTCTACCCTGAAGTAGTCACTTATTATAAAGCCTAAAGGAAAAGTTCACATAGGCGAACAAGAGGTCATAAGCACTTCAGTGGTAACAACGTGGATATTTTTTAAAATTTAGTGATTTTAAAAATGATATTAAAATGTATACATGTCTACTACCAGATGCCAAAAAAATATCCATGACTTGGTCCTCAACTTACTTAGCAGTGTCCTGCTCACAATGTGACTTTGGACAAAGAGAAATTTATGGGGGGGGGGGAAACAAACCAAACCCAACAAACAAACCAACCAACCAACCAAAAAAACATCCAAGGCCCTCCACCCCAAACAGTCAGCTGAAAGAAAAACAAAATAAAAAGCAGTAGGAGGTGGTAAAGACAATACTGAGCTGTATGTTCCTTGGATCCAGAGCCAGGCAGGTTAACACGGCTGAACTTTGCACCATTACTAACTCCCATTACAAAAGGTGTAACCTCATCCCACAGAACAGCTCTTTGGTATCTATTGGCAAGCACAGGGTGGGGAGGGAAGGCAGAAGAAGAAGAAACAACCCCACTCTGTTGGCCTGCAAATGGCAGGGAACCCAAGCAACCAGAACACTGAAATTGCCCGAAGATGTGGTATTCCACTTGTATTGCCACATGCAATCGGCCAGTCCTATCAAGTGAGAAGCAAAAAATGAATTTACCGTTTTCATCATCACTTTAGCAAACAACCACTTCAAATAGCTTTCACTGAATGGATGTTTCCTTGGAGACTCCAACCCCATCACTTCTGGTCATTCACCCAGGAGAGGAGAGTCCAGAGGGTAGCTTACAGCCTACACTACCAAGAGCCTTAGAAGAGCTGACAAGTGAACTCTCAGTTTTTTTGATGAGTCTTGAAATAAAATGGGAATGTGGAAGACTTAAAAAATAAGCTAGTGCTATACCAGTATTTTAAAAGGTTGCAATAGGATGAGATATGTCAGTCTTGTCAGCCTGACATTGATTCCAGACAAAATAATGAAAAAGCTGATGTAAGACTCAGTTAATAAAGGATTAAAGGAGGACAGTGTAATTACTGCCAATCAACATAGACTTTACAGGAAAATATAACTTGTCAAACTACCAACACTTTCTGGTGTGATTACAAGTTTGAATGCTAAAGGTAACAATGTTGATGTATTATATTTTCATATGGTGTTCTACTTGGTGCCAGAAAGCACAGTGATGCAGAGTATTGTGTATTAGCTGATAGGTCTAAACTGCACCAGTAGAGAAGGAGTCAGGCAGGCAAGTGCTAATGTTCCAGCGCTACATGCAAATTTGGTTGCTGGCATGGAGCATCTCTGTCTGTCATGTTGACTACTATTGCTTCGTTCTCACCCTGAACTCCCACCTACTCTACCCATCTGTTGCCCCCTTTCCTGTACTTCTAGAAATGGCTTGGCACAGGGATGGCCACCAGTCCCTGACTAGTACAAAGGACTCTCTAATCCTGACCTAAGCCCTGCCTGGCATCTCAGAGTCATTTTGCCAAACCTACTGTGTTGCTGTACTAGCCCGTCTGCTTAGATAACTCGTAATTTTTAGTGGTTCATTAAACCAGACTGCTCTAAGAATTTATTCACAAGGCGATCTTCCCTAGCATGGAGATACTGTCTGTAACAGTTGCATGAGAATGATAGTAAAAAACAGAAAGCTGTTCATATAAAGCACAGAGCTGCAAGTAAACGCGGACCGAACCTGACAGCAAGAGCTTTGACATTAAGAAATTTAGTCAGGACACCAAAGTGATTCACACACCCATAAGATCTCTGTCTGTTGCTTTCCTCTCTGCATACAGCAGTAAGTGGGGCAGGGGACAGAAGCAGAAGTGTAATTGGGTATATTTTCCCCAACAACAGCTCTCACTCATACTTGACCATGGAAGTTTATTGTCAGTTTTTAGAAAGCTGTCAGGTTAGGAATACAGGGGTTTTTTTGCATCCTTTCTCAAATGTTGTAGAGGTTACATAAGAAATAACATTTGGCATTTATGCATATAAACATAATTAAAAAATAACAGTCTGGATACATGGTAGGATGAAGCAATTTAAGGCGCTCAAGCTTAGATTAGCATGTGTTAATAGGAAGACAGATGACTGATTTTTCCCTCGGCCAAGGCTGGCAACCTCACCCATAACTACCAAGCCAGGGTTAAAGTACTTTTGAGCCTGAGTAGAGGTTTTTCGTTATGACAGTGAAGAAAGAACTACCACAAGCTTTGGCACAGCCTAACTAAAAAGTAAAGCATACTCTCTGCACTGCAATTTTCAATGGCTCTGAAATATAAAATTGAACATGACAATGCTGCTGACCAACATAATGAATACAAGAAATTCTCTGACTATTGCACAATTGCAACCTCATTTTCTAATTCTCATCTTTCATGTCTCCACCTAATACTTACAACTTCAACTCTCCTGGTTTCTGCAACACATTATTATGTTTTTGAGCACAAATGTAAAAAAACATTTTGAAAGCTGAAAGCGTAGATACAGACTAAAACAAACAAACTATTAAAATGACATCACAAGCAGCTGCTGCATTAGGAGAACTAATTTTATATTTAAGTCAATAAAAGCCTTTACTGTGGAGTCCCAGCCATTCCAGTGTGAGGTTGCATGACACTGTAGGAGCCTACAAACATTGCCTTAAGTAGGCTCAGCACAGTGCCATAGAGTAAAGATTGATCTTGTTTTTTGAAAGTCCCATGATTACAATTTCTGCCTTCTTTTGTTAATCTTGGCGTACACACAACCAACAGCAAGCATGTGTATTTTGGGGCTCAAATTAAATAAAACGTGCAAGGAGAAAAAGCTAGGCTGTTTCCCAGCCATGAAGGAACAGGCAAACTGCAAGGAGGGCTGGAGGAGGGTTGAAGGCAGGTGTCTCCAGCAAAGCGGGGCCACACATGAGTTCTGCAGTGTTGCCTGCCAGTGTGCTGTTTCCACGTGCCAACAGCCAAAGCCCACACAGGCAGCAAGCACATCTTTCCATAGGAAAAAAAGCAGAGGTGCTTTGGAGGCTAGCCTTTGGCTGAGCTCTTACTATTAGTGCAACAGCAAGATCTATGAACCATGCTCTCGAACCAAAATGTTCAGGGAGACAAAAGTCCAGGAGATGCCAGAAATCTGTTAGCAAAGACAAGACCACTGCTATACTAAATCAGCCATGCAAAACCAACAACAGTTCCACCCCAAAACAGCTGGGAAAACTCCAGTGAAGACTCTTAAGAAGACGTTAGATAAATTCTGTCCAAAATGGTTTAGGCATAGTTGACTGTGCCTTATGATAAGGAAAAGGGTCGCACAGCCTCTGGAGAAACCTTTCAGCTCTCCTTTCAGTGGTGGTCCTGTGATTACCTACATGAAGGAAGAGAACCACATTCCAATCTACCTGTCCATACAGCATCCCTTGTTCTCCCCCGAATTCCAGGATGACTCCTCTGCACTGGGGTTAATTACAGAGCAACTTGGACCCAGCCAAAAAAGACCCACCCTCAAGATACATGTCATCTATAACCATCCCATTCATGAACTGCAGAGTGCCATACTCCTCCTCTTCCCCCACGTCTCTTCCCACCTCCGCCTGCCCTTTAAGGCTTCCAAATGCTTGTGTGCTGTATGTGGTGGCAGCTGAGTTTTTTAATATGAACTTATTAAGATCCTAATTGAATCCCACATTGCCTTGTGTGCGTCTTGCCAGCCGGAACACGAACAAGGCACCCTATAATTCAATTAGAAGGACCTGCAGCAAGCTGATGATTAGTCTGTCAAGTTGTTAAGAAAAAGACATCTAGGAATAAGGGAGTAAGTCAAACAAAAGGGAGAAGTGTTAGCTGCATCCCTCCCTAGTTCATGCAGAGATTCCCATACACATACTTCAAGTGCAGAATCTGCAATGCCCAAGCACTTGAATGACAGCTCACCACATCACTTCAACAGTCTTTTGTTTCAGGCAACTTAAATAGAACCTCAAGAGTTCATCATCAATCCTCCTATGCTCAGATTCACAAGAAAAATACCACTAATATACATGACTACTGCAAACAAGTAGATCTTATTACCTGCCAAAACCCTGTTGACAGAGGAATGGGTGGCCAAGCCAGGCTGTCCCCTTTCATGGAAAATCCCAGCATAAGGCAAGTACTCTGGTAGCAAGAAGCGTCTGCAAAACAGAGAGTAAGCTTACATGGAGAAAGACATCCCAGCATACTACAGCCCTGGACAGCAACTGCAGTTACTTTGTGGAAACATGACTGTATTCCAGCAGACTAGAGTAGAGCAAAGGCTGGACTCCTCTGCTTAGCGAACCACTTCATTGCTTCAAACAAAAGGCAAGTTACAGACTAGACCCTCCTCTGATGAAATTGGCTGTGAAGATTTGTATTAAGCAAATTTTTTACCTCCCACAATAGCTTCCTAATCTCAAACCAGCACGTTGTGCTGAGAAACACCAATCAGATTCTTTTCTTCTCCTATTCTGCCTTCATACCATAGCCCCAACCTGCAGGTAAGACACAGTAAAATCATGCCGTCCTTCAAATGTCACAGGATAAGCTGATCATACTAACATGCCATCTCAGGGGTCCCAGAAATTGCAAAATGAGAATACAGCAGCCCTGTGCAAGAGAAAGAATCCATCTGAAGGCACCAGAGAGCTGTACTGCAACTGGTACCTCCAGGATTTCCACAGCCTTTTACTGTTACATGTACAAGCCTTACCTTGGGACAAAGCGCCCCAGTGATGGTGCAGACATGCGGGCATTCCGGGGAGCTCGGTGCCTGGATCGATCTCCATTGTCCCTTCAGCAAAAGAATAAAGAAAAATTGTACATTAAAAATACTATGTAATAAAGTATTCTCCAAGAACAGAAAAACCCAACAATGTCACCTACTCATCCTGAGTATGCCAGTGAGATTTAATGGTTCTCTTGCACAAGTCACATCCTTCTAATGGTCCAAATTCATACAACTTACTGTACCAAAGACTCCTGACAATTTTAGACAGCACTAGCCTAATGTCCACTTTCTTCATTGTTTCACAATGTCTCAAAAGTATCAACAAAACCAGAAAGAGTCAATGAATCAATGACAGCACCTGAGCAATTGCACAAGAAACCATAGAATTTGCACCGGGAGAGCAAAAGCAAGCACACCACAGTCCTCATGAGAACTTTCTGCTAGTCAGAGAGATCTGTTCAGTTTCACTTTTTCATTCCCAGGAGTGCAAGCAAAAGAGCATAATCTGCAGACTAATCTTTTGCGCTGCTCCCCTCAAGGTCCAGTTTAAGTGCCATCACAGCTTAAGATAATCTAACCTTTCACAAGCTTTTCCAGTGAAGTCAGAAATGTTAGGTGGTATCAGGCAAAACTGTACCTCCTCAAAAACCTCTCATTCTATTTCATAATAAATGTCTGAGCCTTGGGGAATGAGGGGAAAGGGTCTAGCATCTATTGTCCTACAGCAGACATAGGAAAGTCGTCTTCCCCAGGAGGGCAGTGCAACACTGAACAGGTTACTCAAAGAGGCTGCAGAGCTGTTATCCTTGGAAGTCTCAACACAGGAGCTAGACAAAGCCACAGCTGACCCAGTCTGATTTTGGCAATAACAAGCCTACAACAAGCAGAAGGCCAAACTGGAAGACCTCCGGAGTTCTCAGCAAACAAAATTCCTGATATTGTATTCATAGGTCACAAGAGGACCTGTAATTATACAGCACTAAAACAGCAAGGAAAATAATGAGACTCCATCAGCGACTCTCAAGTTCTGAAACAGACCTCCACAGTGCTTTATTCCCCATCCAGAAATTTACTCTCTCCATGACCTTGCACAAGTAGCAAGTCTGTTCTCCCTGGATTCCAGATCCCCATCTGTAATTGCAGCCCTACTTGTCTCCTTCCCAAGCAGCTGTGGGGAGAAAATTACTTGCAGAGCCTTAGAATCACTAAGAAACTAAACATTCCTTATGCAATACACTAGCAGCACATTCCTAAGCTACGCCAGCAAGCTGTGCATTTTATAATCTTTTTTTCTGCTTTGCTTTTGTAAAGTCAGTGAGCAAGAAACGTGGGCTGACAAGAAAGTCCATTACATGGCTGTTCCCCACTCACTTGAGGAACCAGGAACACAAGAGCAGAGGTTGTTCTGCAAAGCTCGTTAGCATTTCAAGCTATTTCACCAAAACCAAATCTAAATCCAAGCTCAAAGCTTCCACTTCTCCTCCCACTGCAGAGGCAGCATTTGCAGTTCACATCCAAAGCCACACCTCGCCCTGAGGTTTCTGTGTAACCACAGGGTTCCTGAAATCAGCAACATAAAAGCTGCTGCTGGTTCTTTTATCAGAGGCCTCCAACCTATTAAGATGTGCATCAATAACAGAAGGAATCCTTCGAACTCCAGCGCTGACACATCAACTTTTCCTGCTAAAGAGAAAAGGCCAAAGCAAAAAAGAAGTGTCATGTTCCAGATCTTACCACACACAGTAAGAGCTAGTGAAAGTCAGAGGAGAAACACACTTTTTAGAAGTCAGTGTAGCGGGTTTGAAAAAATGCTGATATGCAGCCCTTGGAGAAAACCAGCAAAATGGTTTTCAGGGTTTGCATTTGCTTTGCACATTTACTAGAATTAGAAGATGCTTTTGAGAGGGACAAATACCAGCAAAAGAAACAACAGTAGGACTATAGCCTGCAAAACCCTCCAGGTGAAGCGAATCTCTGCTGCAGGTTTCAAAAGGGATGAGGAATGAGCTCCAGCAAACAAAAGAAAATAAAGGTGCAAAGTCTCCTACAGTCCAAATCAAGAGACCTAAAGCAACTAATCGTTCAAGTTTTTTAAAATGCCACTATCCAATACTCTTACCATCCACAAATACATTTTAGGACACAAATTTTCTAAGCAATGAGACTTTCTGATATGAGAATGCCATCTTGTATTGTCCCACTCACTGTACATACCACCCCCCCAACACAAAAAAACCCTAAAAGGGAAAAAACATAGGCTAAACTTCTTCAGTTTTCACCATGACAGACACAGCCTCTACTGATTCAGGAGACAGCAATCTGTTTTTAACATCCCCTTAAAGAAAAAAATAAAAAAACACCTCACCCCAACTGCCACTGCCCTATAACTCAAACAGCCGAACTGGGAATGAGAAACAGTGACTATCCTTTGAGAATGCCAGAATTACTATTTACTGTAATGGAAGTGTGAGATACACTCCCCTGTGCTAAAGAGGAATATTACTAAACATTACTCTGAATCACTAATTTAGAGAGTCATTTATATCTAAACTCCTATGCTCAACAACATGCAAGAGTGTTTTTAAGCAGCTAGTGCTGAAAAGCCAGAACAGCTGATATTACCCTGGTGCCAGCTGAAGATTATTTCTGCACCTTCTAAAAAGGAAAATAAAAAAAAAACCCCAAAGATCAGTGAAGATGGGTGGCACTGTGTTATTTCTGTACCACATACAGCCTGCTGACAGAGGGAGGAGAGCAGATGTTAGCACGACTGCAGTGCCAGCATGAAGCACTCTGGCAAGAAATGAGAAGTTTCCAAAGTTCTCTAAAGGACTGATGAAGATCTAATGCTCTACTTTCTATTTAGCATCAACTACCTACAGACTCATTAGCTCACGATTTACAGTGGATAGTTTAATTAACATAACCTGCAAAAGTGGATCCCTCAGAGTGTGTGTGCCTACATAAAAAAAACCTCTTCTGTAAAGCTACTCAATATCCTTGCAAGAGCAAAAGAAACAAAAATGTGCCACACAGCAAGCTCTGTAGCAGGGTTAGAAAGGTGTCCTGTGATGTCCTTCGTTTCAAGTGCACCAGCAAATATGAACAGCACAAGGAAACTTCTGCAGTGAAAAAATAATAATGAAGGAACTAACCAATCCCTTGGGCAAGATGCAGAGAAAGAATCAGAAGTAATCGGCATGTAAGGTGACAAGAGAGACTTAATTTTGTAAGTATTAAAAGACCTATATGTCTCAGGAGGAAAACTGCAAGAACCGACAAATGGTCATAACAACTTTCAGGGTCTTGCTCAAAATTCAGGTTATTCATAATTTGTTCAGATACCAGTGTGGGACAAATCAAAACAGTGATACAGAGAATAAGAGCTGGTAGGGGAAAAACAGCATTAACACTAACACAAAATGTAGCAGGAAAAGAAAGCAATTCCCAAACATTCAGGAGATTTATGGACCTTTAACAGGTCATAAGAAGGATGAAAGTTTGCACTAAACAGGATAAGCCAGTCAAATCTCCTTGGATTTTTCTGCTATTGTTTTGTTTGCTTGTTGAGAGAAAAGTTGACCAATGTAAATCTAATGGAGCGGCAATACCAGCTCTGAAAACAGAGATGGAGATACAAAACTTTGTATCTACTAAACTTCGAAGAAAAAGGCATTCTTTTTCATCAGGTAACTTGGCTACCACATTAATAACCGAGTGAATACAAAACATAGTCAAGACTGTCAGAACTGAAAAAAGCTATGCTCTGCTTTTCTATCTTGGCAAGAATTGTCTTTAATATTTAGAGATTGTTGTATCAGGAAGTGAAATTAAACACACAGCATGGGATTTCTAATGCAATCTGTTGGTCTAACTGTTCCCATTGTAGTCAATATTAAAACTCCCACTGACTACACTGCCAATAGAATTAGGTCAACAATGACCATTTTGAAAAGCCATTTAATTATCAGAGCCAGCACTAGTAAGCTCAGCAAGTTCATAAGAATCAAATTATATCAGACCAAGCCAATTGTTCCGTGTTTTCAGCATTTTACCGTGTTTCATGCAATCCAATTTAAAATGCTAAATCAATTTCTATTGCAGAGGTTAGACACTTACATACAATAGAAATGCTAAATAATTGGTTAAGTGGCATCTACTAATATCCTTAAGGGCTGGCAGTGGATTCAGCTGCACCATCCTCACGTAACAGCAAAAACCAGTATTTTTTCGGTATTTCAAACATTAAGTATATCCACCTACTTGCTATCGATTTTTTAAGACTGCAGGAAGTTACTTCAGAGGAGATAGCACAGAGGGCAGGAGTAGCACAAAGCAAGAAGGGCAGTAGCACAAAGATCACATCAGGAACTCAGAGGAGGGTACCAGAAAATGCAAACTTGTTTGGCTTCAGAGGCTGGTTGTCTGACTCCAGGTCCTCTGAAGAGGGTACTCGAAGCATGTCACATTAAACTCGCTGTACTAAAGAAACGGATCCCGAAATCTTGCTTCACTTCATAGGATTCACTGCTAATTTAGATGAAAACAGATGTCATGTATCATGAGGAGGGTGTACTCACAAGAGCTGCCTAGGACTACAAGTCAAAGTGTGTACTATGTTTTACAAAAGGGTATAGAAGTAGGAAAAAGGTGTCGAGGGGAACATTATGTTTTGTTGGTGATTGTAAGAACATGTTGATAACTTTCCAGCACCATCCTGATGGGTAAGGGACACACAGTGTTGGGAACAATATGATAGGAATTTAACTACTAGCTTTACAACTGAGAGAAGCAGCAAATACCAGATGTTAAAACTTTAGTTTTTCCTCTGCCTGATCTGGCAAGATCCTGAGCATCTCCTACAATGAAGTTAGGGAAAAGTGGGAGCATTTCTAGGAAATCAACCTCTCTAAATAGACAGGTAAACACAAAATAAAGAAAACCTTGGCATTCTGGTATCCTAGAAGACAAAAGGAAAAGTCACACTGCAAGTCAGTTGTAACTGCAGACAGACATAGTAGCTGCAACAACATCTGGATAACTACGACTACTCTCTTAATCAA